TCAAATTTTGCTAGTTTTGAAACTAACCACAATTCTGTGTTCTGGTACAGGTTGGGAACTGGTTTCATCTCCACTGGCTGGATGGAGATGTTAAAGCGTTTTAAAAAGAAGTTGGTTCTTGTCTTCATCACTGCACTCTTCCTCTTTTTGGTCCTCACTGTGAAAACGCCCAGCACATACAAATCAATCCCAAAACCATCTGGGCCGCCAAGTGCTTGCTCCATGAGGATATCCAAGCAGACCATCACGCCGCTTAACAATACCAAGCACTTACTGGTGTCAGCCTACATGGACCAAAGAGTGAAGGATTTTGATATACGCATCATTGGCATATTTAGGAGAGACTCCATCCAACCCCTTCACTGCTTTTTCTGCTGTGCTGGTTATTTGAGTAAAACCACTCCAGCAACAATTTTACAGCATCCAGATAACTTTGGTTTTCCCTTTGTCACTACGGATGTCATGTGTCAGATTCCTCAGAACTTCAATGCGAGACGTGTCACTCTCTTGACTACACCAGAGAAAGAGAGTCCATCTACTGATCAATGGCTCCCAATAAGAAACAAAGACACTGTTGGACAGAAGGAAGAAAACATGCAGTTTGACTTCACAGTCTGCATCTCTAACCTCTTTGGTGACTACAACAATGTGCTTCAGTTTGCACAGACTCTGGAGATGTACAAGTGAGTACTGCAACACCACCACAAGCTACAAAGTCAAAAATGTGCACTGGCAGCTGATCCTGACACAGCATGAACCCTGACAAGCTCTGCAATGGCTCCGCTTCAATTCAGTGTCTCTAGATTGTATCAGATTGTAAAGTTGTGCCTGTTGCTCCTGTTGCTGCCAGAGTTTTGTTTTTTTTTTAAAAAAGTGTAGTTGGACAGTGTCTTACCACTCAGACGTCTATCACTTGGTGTTAAACATTTACGGTAGCACAGTTTAAAATTCTGCAGGAGCTGTACGTCTTTTCAGACACTGTAGGAAAATGGATTTTTAGCCCTGTAAACTGAATTTCCAGCTGTTCAGAACCAGTTGAGAATAGACAGTGTCCTTCCTACTTAAGAAACACCACACCACGATTGTAATATTATTTTTTATCTGTGTATTTTAACAGTCACATAGCTGCAAGCTATTGTGACAGGTACAGGCTAACACAGTATAAATAGTATAACACAGTATAAATATTATACTAAGGATAGAGAAATGACCAACTGTTTGCTATATAAACCACAATTGTTTTTAGTAATCTGTTTTGTTTGCTGACAACGATGCTGACAAGCAATAATTTGCCTTATTTTGTCCCAGGTTGCTGGGTGTGAACAGAGTGGTGATCTATAACACCAGCTGTGGTCCAGAGCTCAATCGCCTGTTGCAGAGTTACAGTGACGAGGGCTTTGTGGAAATGGTTCCTTGGCCCATTGACAAGCATCTGAATCCATCTCGTGGCTGGCTTCACTCAGAGCATGGAGGGGATTTGCATTACTTTGGCCAACTGACCACACTTAATGAGTGCATTTACAGATCAATGGAGCGTTCTCGCTACGTCCTGTTGAATGACATTGATGAGATTATAATGCCATACCAGCACGATGACCTGATGTCTTTGATGAACACGCTCCGAAATCAGCATCCAAATGTAGGCTGTTCTTGTAATGAATTTGAAAAAATAACACCATTACATTTCATCAAAAATTCAGTATCCTGTACAATAAGAAGTTATATTTGACTTGTTTTTATCTGATTTGAAGGCAGGAGTGTTCCTTATTGAGAATCATATTTTCCCAAAGAAACACTTTGAGCCAAGTGGACGGTTTCACCTGCCTCAGTGGAACGGGGTGCCAGGAATTAATATTCTGGAGCACATTTACAGGGAGGACCCCGCCAGAAACATATACCATCCACACAAGATGATAGTTCGGCCAAGGTAAGCTGAATTTGTCAGACAGAAGATTTACTCTATTTAGGATACAGGTCTTTGGTTTACTTAATAATACATTTGACTGCTACTAAAAAAATAACTACAACTAAATAAAACAGTACCTTAGTTATTGAACTTCTCCAACACCATGATAAACATACAAGAAACATCAAATGACCGTTTGCTACAATAAGTCTCAAGTACAAAACATATTTAAGAATGGTTTGTTTTATTTTGCTGCCATCTAATTTGATTAACACTTGAACTTTCAGATTTGATATGTGTCATATTGCTCATACAGAGCTAACAAAACACACAAAATGGAAACATGAACCCAGCAAACAGAAACTTAAAGAAACGTTCCTTACGAGTTTCCTAAAGGTCACAGTTTAGACAACGTCTGAATAACTTGAGGGTTATTTTTGCCAATCTTTCCTTAACAATCTCTTAAGTTCAAGTTATTCTGTGAAACTTTCCAAATGGAATGTTCTCTGAAAGTTATTGCCAAAAAACCCAGAACAACCTCCAGGGAGCATTCACTATCCCCCAAGGCTGATTTGTGAAACCTTCAGAGAACCTTCAGGGCACTCCTAAAGAACAGGATCTTCAGTAATCAATGCATTTTAAAACCTTAACTCTAAACATTTAACTGTCTTGTGTTTTGTGTCACAGAATGGTGGAGTGGACTTCAGTCCATGAAGTGATCAAGAATTTTGGAGAATGCTACAAGGTTCCACTAGATGTTTGTCGGATCATTCATGTCCGTGTGGCTCTACAGGGATCATTAACCCTGGAGCAGCTTAATGTGGATAAACGACTGTGGGACTTTCAGGAAAAACTCATTCCCAACGTGGACAAAGTGTTGAAGAGGGTGGGGATGCTGAACTTGACATAGAACTAATGGATAAGATGTACAGGCACTACGATGGACACTTGTTAAACACAGTGAATCAGATCGTGAATGTGCATCTTTGAATCGGGGGCATTTGTGAATTCATTGTGTCATTGTTTTCTGAAAACATATTTTGCACCTGGTGCCAGTAAAATCCCTACATTTCAGTGAATACTGCTTAATTGCCATCATTGAATAATTACAAGCTTTTTGAAGGACACAGTGGTTCTAATACTGTGTGACATGAGTATGACAATTTGAATACTCCTTAATATAAATCTGTTGACTTGAAGGACTGCAAATATTTTAACTGTCCTGG